ATTTCATCGTCATTGCATCTCACTGAACTGGTGCAATGAACTTGATTGTTTATTTATTTAGACTTTATGGTGTTCTCTGCAGATCGCCTACACTACAGTATTAGGATAACATGGACGCTTTTGCACATCGCCATGGCAACACAGTGAAATTGGTACCATATGGTTGTCATTGACTTTTGTGATCGGGATGACATGAAGAGTCAGCTGGGGGGACCTTAGTTGATCTTGGTTCATTTTTGTGTTACTTAGTTATTTGATTTGTTTACATTTTTCTGTCCATTTTTGTAAAATAAATATTGTTTTTCTTTTTGGACACCTCTCCACGCTCCCGTTTTTGTTCCACGCCCAGTTTTTAACATAGGCCACAGGTCTAGGGGAGAGGCACGGTAAAATGTTGTGTATGTAATTAAAAGTAATTAAATGTAATTATTTCTTTTGTGTAATGTTTTTTCTTAATCATGTCCATCACAAATATTAACAACGTAGTAAGCTGAGCCTGTTGGTAATATCAAACTGGCATTTTAAAAAAAAAAAATTTAAAAATCAACAAATCAATTCAACAAATGTTTAATTTAAAAGTAAAAAAGGCCCAGAGTCTTCAGCCTGAGCACCACTGCAGCTCCATGTCCTCCAGTCTGAGCGCCTTCGAGCTTTTGTCCTCGTCCTTTGGGTTGGTGGGCGAAACCGGCGTGTCCAGAAGAAACTCACCCAGACACAAGGAGAACATGAGGACGAGTGATACCCACCCAGCGCCACCTATGCCACGTCTCTGTCCCCTGCCACGTCTCTGTCCTCTGCCACCAACAAGTACAACATGAACCCATTGATTTTGATGAATATAAGTGCGTTAGCGGTGGTGAAGACATAGATGTTGCTCGTGTCTCTCTGGGTGAAAGGCGTGTGCATGTGTGTGACGAGCAGGTGCGCGTTGGCTTGTGCGTGCAGCTCTGGGTTGGAGCAGGTGTAGGTGCCACTGTCAGACGTCTGGAGGTTGACGACGTGCAGAGAGGCGTTTCCCGCGCTCAGCTGCTGTGGGGACAGGTGTGTGCGCTCGCTCTGGATCTGGTAACCCCTGTGCTCCTGCTCGTCCTCCTGCAGCCTGGAGTGAGACCACAGCACCGTGAGCGCCCTGAGGTCCAGAGGAGGGTCACAGATGCACGGCAACACAATGTCCTGCCCCACCAACACTGTATCTGTTAAACAATATAGAAAAAGATCAGATTTTGCTTCAAAAAGTGACTCTTTTTGTAATCCCACATACATACGTCAATGTAGAAATACGAGGCTATGTAGAAAAATGTAATAAGCTAACAAAAAAAGAAAACATAACCTGTACTGTAGGCCTGCAGATGAAACTATTATAAACGTGGTCAGTTGGTCCTAATGCTTCTCTCTGATAAATCAAAAGTGCACTTGCCTGATGAGTTCACTAGGTGGCACAAGAATAACACGATTAACATGTCTGAGAGAGTCCATGGACTTAAAACCAACTGGACTCTGAATTTCAACATTGAAACTGGCAGCCCAAATGACGCCAAGTTATAACTTGTCCATTATGGCCAGTGTTTTGTAATTATTAATAAATCAGCATTAGCATTGATAAAGGTCATGTTTAAGACATTTCAAGCTAAAATGTATGTAAAATTTTTTTTAATTTTATTGATTTAAAGAAGACATATTGTGCTTGTGTCGACTATAGAATGACATCTATGACACTTGTGGATCATTATGTCATAATTTGGATAATAAGACATGATTACAATATGATTACCTATTTTGTGTTGTAGATGTTTAAATATACTTAAAGGTCCAATATTAGGCAGAAATGACTCTGTGAGCTTTTAGTCATGTTAGTGTAGCAAAGGTATTGGGCCAGAACAACAACACCACTAACAGTTTAAAATATTTGTGTGGGGAGAGGTTGGCACTAAAATAAATAAAATAAAACGGAGATGTTAGTTTCTGTTGCCTTGGCTTTCTGCTACTGCCGATTAACTTTAATTGTCCATAAGCACAATAACAAAAATTTAAATTTACACAGAAATTACATTTATGTACAATATTCTTTTCTCTTCTTTCCACTCTGTAATAACAGTTTAAGTTTCCATCATTCTTGGTAAATAAAACCATAACTATTAATGAATAATGTTCCTTGCATTCAATTTACTGTTTATTACTAATTAAAAATGTCATGAAATTATTTAAATCTAGCAGGATAGCATACTTGTTGTGACATGACTTTTATAACTGTACCTTTTGTTTTAAGTGTATTATAACTTTTACATATTCACAACAGAACAATATCGTATCATGACAATAACAAATACAAAGTTTGGCTGGAGCGCGGCAAAATAACAAGTCCGAGGAAAAGAAGAAAAAAAAAAAGAATAAAATAACAAGTTCTAGGCAAAATTTATACTTTTATGACTTCATATGAGTCAGTATTATGCTTCGTGGGACTGTACCAACCTGAAATAAACAAATAAACTTTAGTTCTGTTGTTGATTAACAGGAAGCAGAAGCCAGAGCGCCTCCAAACCGTCTCACTGTGTGTGCTGCCATCTAGTGGACAAAACTGGAATTGCAATTGTTCATCTCAAAATAAAACACCACCATTATTCCTCATTTACAAAATTTCATGACATTAAATAAAAACCATGTGACCGCACACATACTGTGGGCGTCACATTAGAATGTTGTTACCTCCTGAAAAACATAATGGAGTTGTGTTTTGTTTCATTCACAAATGTTCAAGTAACTCTTCATTATTAGTCTGTTTACATCGCCACAACTTCAAATGCTCTGTTCCACCTTGTGATGTCATGAAGAGGTAAATTAACAGCTACCTTTTATCTCTGGATCAGTAGAGATTGGCAATTCCAGGGCTGAAATTGATGAGTTAAACACGTGTGAAAGAAACAAAACACAACTCCAGGTGAACATTAAAACTGTACATGCAGGAACAATACTCACCATGTGCTGATTTTCTTCCTCAAAACACATTCAACAGACAGGGCATCTGGTACAAAGTCCTCCTACGACCACATCAACCCACAGAAACACTTGATAAATGTTCATTAGGAAGTATGTTGCAAAAACTATATAATTCTGTTAAATATTTTTTGGATGGATTTACTTGTGTTGTGGTGGTTCTCAAATGTCTTCGTTTTTCTGGAAGAAACAAGGATTTTATTTTGTTTTAGTCTTTTAATTTAGATTGAAAATGACTAAAACATTACTAACTATGAACTATAAGCAGAGTGAGATGTCCCTATTTACCCGAGACAATCCCAGTTTTGAGCCCTGTGTCCCCTGTCCCAGCAGATTGAACCAGTAATTTCTCCCAATTTTATACAAGAAATCTCCCAGGTGTCCCTATTTTGACCATTTTGATACCCACCAACAGTAAAGATGGGAATATATTGTCATTTGTTTCAGCTAAATACAAAAAACTGAGCTTGAAAATGACCATAAGAAAGAAAAAAAAGCACCGTCAGAAGCCCCACAGATTATGATTGACCCACAAAGTAAGTTAAGAATGGACACTTAGTTACAGTTACACTCTTTTCACAATTTTATTTATACCAGCCATCCCAAAATCTGGTCACTCTGTCTATAAGTGCTCTGAATAACACTCAAAGCAAAATCCACATTTCTTTGATAAACCCTAATTTGATATTTACAAACATTAACATAGTCAATTAATTATTCTATACCTCATTATATTACAGCCTATATTTACAAACAGCGCAGATACTTGGCCCATAGTAAAGTTGTTTTTTTTTCCATATTTATTTTGCACATAAACTAGAGGACAAATGTAAACATACAAACACACTAGGGGGCGTTGCAATATGAAAAATATGATAAATTCCATATCAAATACAAAAATAAATGAGTTTCATTTTTACATGGAGCATTTCATCAAAACAACAAGAATTTGGCAATCAGTTGAGAAGTAGCTTTAGCTGTTTAGCAGATTTCCACTGTGGTCAGGGAGCTAAAATACAATTTAAACTCATGAATAAAACAAGAACATTTAAGTTTATTCTCTCTCCATTTGCTGTCACAAACCCAGCGAATCAGGAAGGAGAAAGTCACAGTGACGTGGTCCAATAAGGACACAACTAGAGCTCCTACATCAGAGTATCAGCGTCAGATCTGTACTCAGATGAATTTGTGAGAGCTGGCGGCACCAGATCGTTCCATCTCTGGAGCCATTTTCCATCAGATTAGTGTGGACGAACACTGCATCCATAAAGAAAACGACTCGAATACGTACTAGTGTGGATGGGGCCTGTATGTAGAGCCTGTCTCCATTTTGAGAGCTCAGAGTGCATAGATCAAGTTACACAAGGAACTGTATGTAAAAGTTTGATTTCAGTGTTTAATTTAGTAATAAGTGTTAATACCAAAATAAAATATTTCTTGGCCCAGTCTTGACATTTCAGCTCATGTTTCTTGTCAGTGGTGGTCGGGTTTCAGTCTTCCTCACCTTAGTCATGTCTCTGAGTGTTGAACACATTGGACTTCTGGACACTCCAGACTGCAGTTCTGGAATATGGCAGCGCTGGAGAATAATGGGTTCCTGGAAGCTTCATGTTTGATTCTCCTTAAATCTTAAGTTAATGTGCGTCTTTCTCAACTTTTGTTTCTTGCGACACTATTGACCATTTGCAACAAAACATTTGATGGTTCTGTAATCACGCCCCAGTGTCTTTGCAATTTCAAGAGGGCTGCATCCCTCTAAAAGACTTTTTACAATCTTTTTTGACCTTTCAGAGTCAGTTAAATCACTTTTTTGAGGAAAAGACGCTGCCTAATAATAATTCTGCACACCTTGATACAGGGTCTTGATCTCCTTAAGCCACACCCTCCCACGTTAGACAAATACACATCACCAGATTAAATCCAATAAGAATTCAAGTTTATACAGCTTGGAGTTGGAGAATATTCATAAAAATCATGATATGGCCAAAATACTCGACCATAACGCCTCATAATTGTGCACACAGTGTATTTGGATTGAGCTCATATTTACACACAAAATGACCACTGTAAATGTACTGAGTAGAAACAAACTCATAATGAAGGAGGAGTATTTTAATTTGTGTTTCTTGTCCCTGGGACTGAACTTCTGCACATGACACACATCTTCAGAACCTCTCCAACCTATGGAGAAGCAGAGATCAGAAATTATTCACTTTAGCTGTAAGTCTGTGTTCACACCTGGAAACACATCACATCCAAAACTAAACTACAACAGGACTAAACCAGGACTAGACCAGGATCAAAACAGGATCAAAACAGAACCAAACCAGGACAAGTGTTGAGTGCAGCCTCAGATGCACAGTGCAGATCCAACCATAGATGTTCCAAACAGGAAGTGGCTCTTCCGGATCCAACTGACCCTGGCTCCCACTGGCCACGTTTACATGATGTTTTTTAATTCCGATTTAATTATTCCAAATTAATTAATTTGCTTTGAAATCTGAATAAACCACCCATTTAATTCAGATTCACGTTTAATTCTGAATATGTTTAATTCCAAATAATCATTAGGAATTAAGTGTTTACATTGTCTTTTTAAAGCGGAATTAATTTTTATTCGGAATTTAATTATTTTTAATTGGAATTAAACCTCTCAAGTAAATGAGGCAATTGACTTACACTGGAATATTGTGTCACTTCTCTCTGTAATTGCTGCTGTGAGCCTCGTCATTTTGGTCTTACAATTTTCATATTAACCCACTCTACATGATCCTGTTTATTTTCCACAATTTTTTCTGTCAAAAAAATCCTTTTCATAATCGAGTCTGGCTCCAAATTCACGGCTGTAACTGTGTAACCTCTGGATGACGTCACACACACTTACTCCACTTTTTTATACAGTCTATGGATACAACACACACACACACACACACACACACACACAGCAGTGAAACAGCACACATGGAGGAGAAAGTGTGTAAAAAGTGTAAAGGCTTCAGTGGATTCAAGTGCAGTGAGCTCCAGAGCTCAGATAACGCCCACTCTGCCCTATAGAGCTGTGACAAATCTGAAGATCGATAGATCACGATCTTTACTTTGGTCGATCTCGATGATAAGGCTTGTGTATTTTAATCAACAGGTCTAGAGTCAATCATGTGGCAGTGGCAGATTTATGTCTTCACATGTTCACAAATTTTAACTTAAATCTGCACAATTTGACTAAAAGTCCAGTGTGTCTGTCCGTCTGTGTCTGTGTGTGGTGTCGTCTGACCGCTCCCCTGCTCCCCTCCCTCGCTCTGATCTAGTCCCAGCTCCTCACCTTTTCTCCTCTTTCTTTCCTTTTGTGCTTCTTTTCATTACAATCCAAGTTATGAAAGTAAAAATTTCTCACCATTTATGAGTGAATATTAAGTCCTAATTTAGTGCAGGGACATTGCAAGTGTTTCTGTTGATACATGATAAATGCATTTGCTTTTAGGTTTAATCTTTTGTACAAACTCATTCTATTTCCCCCATAACACCCACCTCTAGCCCTAAGCCCACCTATTACATTTTAAAAATACACTTCACTACAGCCACATAAATGTCAATGATATGATTTCATTCTTCTTTGAGATGGACAAGTTGTATGTTGTGGAATTTCCCTGGAAACAAACAGGAGGAGGCTCTTGTCCAGGACAAGAAGAGTCAGGGCACATGTTTTTCTGAGTTTTCCAGTGCAATTAAAAAAATAAAAAAAAACCCGTGAAAAACATGCTTTCACATGAATAGATTTTTGTCTGACACATACAGGCAGTGAGAGTCTGTGTGTTAGACAAAAATGTACATTTGGAGTGTATTTTGGATGAGTCCTGGGCTGTGATCCAGGGCGTGTGGCTCTGTGCTGCTCTGTTCTGCTGTCTGCACATTTAAATCTGATAAACTGGGAGCACAAGTGAAATGAGCCTGGTGCAGGGGACTCTGCTCGCTGTTCTGTTTCTAAATGCTCTTGCAGTGTGTTTGGGGCATAAGGAGCCACTCCATGTGTCAGTTTAAGAACAGAAGGAAATGTGTGCGACTGCTCCAGGCTCAAAACAGACTCATAAAGTCACTACTCACTCCAGTGTCTCCAGTCGACAGTGAGGCTTCTGTTCAAGGTCCAGGAGTTCTTTTACATGTGATTCTCTCAGATTGTTCCTTGACAGATTTAGGTGTTTGAGATGTGAGGGGTTGGACTTCAGAGCTGAGGCCAGAGAGGAACAGCTCATCTCTGACAAACCACAGCCCCCCAATCTGAATAAAGAAAAACATGATGTGGTTAAAGTCCATACAAATATAAATTGTGCTTATAGAAACATTCTGAATAATTAAAGAAATCAAATATAACATGGCAACAGTAAAATATATGAAACACAACTGAATGTTTATGCATCATTCTGTCATTTAAATCATCAATACTTTTCATTAGAATATACCTTTTGTTTATAGTAAAATTTATGGTGAAACCAGTTACCAGTGAACAGAACTGAATAGATTGAATTCGACCTGGACGATTGAGGGATGTTACGCACATAAGTGAACACTTGTACAGCAGAGAGCCAGGAGTCATTTGTTGGAGCAGCACTTTTTGACCTGTGTTTGTTTAAAATCATTTAGACGTAACACGTTTCTTACCTTAAGGTCACTAGGATTTCTCTGGTAGAGGCTCTGGCCCTTTCCTGTCTACATGGACATGTTATTGCTTTGCCAAGAGCATTCCAGGAATTAAATTTATCTATCTATCGCAATGGAGACAAGCAGCAAACACCACCAGGCCAACTAACAAATCAGGTCTGTGGAGAGGCAGGTCCACTCAGAGTAGGAATAGATGTTTTAAATTTTTATTTTTTTTAACAATGAAACACCAATAACTGAACAGATGTGTGATGAATATGTTTAAGTTTATACTGTGGAACATTCCAGACAACACAATATCATCTCCATGGAGAGGAGCAGGAGGCAGAACCCCACCAGAAAAGTTCCAGTGTACTTTGTTTGAATATAATTATTGTCCACCTCTGAGTCCAAGTCCAGAGTAAATACTAGAGCTTATTATGGCCGAGCTCTTTAGTGAAAGAAACATGACACAAGTAAGAGACACTGAACTGACCTGAGAGTCTCCAGTCGACAGTCTGGACTCTGCAGAAAACCACACAGATGAGACACTCCTGAATCAGACAGGATGTTCCAACTCAGATCCAGTTGTGTGAGATGTGAGGGGTTGGACTTCAGAGCTGAGGCCAGAGAGGAACAGCTCATCTCTGACAAACCACAGGCCTCCAATCTGAATAAAGAAAACATGATGTGGTTATACATCTTATATGACACTTTTTCTCCAGTGTTAACACATTATTTGTCGTTCACTGCACCAAGTCCCCACAGCTTCAACTCATTTCTCCAAAACATGACTTTAGTTCAAACCTTGAACCAGTGGTGGAAGATAATGAAGTACAAAAGTGAAAGTACAATACTTAAGTACAAATTTTAGGCATCTGTACTTTAAAGTTAAATTTGAGTATAGATACTTTTAACTTTGTTTCACTACATTTGAGAGCCGGTATCTGTACTTCCTACTCGAGTACATTTTAGATCTGGACTGACAAGTAAAAAGTACTTTTCTTTACAGTGTGAGACCTGCTGAAATGGAGGAGACTTTGTGTTTTTATCATGTTTAGTTTGTGTTAACAGCCCAACTTTGAGCAAACCAAATACACAAAACACAAAAGCAGCTAGAAACATTAAGAAATCAGTTGAATCGCTTAAAATCAGCTAAATTCTTTTTCAAAATCGCCACATTTCATTCTTTAATTGTTCCAAAAATCTCTGCAAAATATTCAACTTTTTATTCATTAAGGTACCCCTTTAAAAATTTACTTAATAGTAGAAAGCTGAAATCATAACTTCTCTGACTCATTACAGATGCAAACTAAGTACTAAAGTCTTTCTGTTTATTTGTTGCAGCTCATATATATATATATATTTAAAATATTGTAGATTTAGGGGCCGTCCACACGACGGTAAAATCTGAGAATTTTGTATTCGTTTTGGCCTTTCGTCCACATGGAGCCGGCGTTTTGGGTGGGTGAAAACTGAGTTTTCTGAGAACGAGTTCCAGAGCGGAGAAATCTGGAAACACTGGCGTTGCATTGTCTTGTGGACAAGCAAACCGCAGCTTTTGGAAAACAATCACATCACAGTCACGTCATCGCCAAAGTCCTCTGATGCAACCAAGCCTGCAGCCCTCGAACTAGCCTCCACAGACTGCAAGAGCGTTGCCAAAATGGGACCTGTGTATCCTACGGAGCCGCTCTCATCACGCAGCATCCAAGACACGCTGCTGGCGCCAATACTAACAACACACACCACAGATTACGCACACGGATTGTGGGGAAGCTGGCCAAAATGGTCGAAGAAGGAGGCAGACGGAAAAATATCCCTTTACCAAAAAAATATTTCTTTTAGCCTTCACCGAGTTGTGGGCAAAATGAAAATACTAGTGATGGGTGAATGGAGCCTCGTGAAGCATTGACACCTCAGTCGCAATATTGTCTCAAATGGTTTGACGTGTCTGAGGCCTTGGAGAAACACTGACCTCTAGTGGACAAATTTAACCATTTGTTGCATGACCAAGTTTTGGTGTTATTGTAATTGCACCGCCATTCCTATGAGGGCGCACATGTCCTGTGTTTTTCTGGGGGTTTTTGTTTAGTTTTCAGCGGGAGTATGGTTCTCTCTCTGTGTGTTCTTCAGCAGTCGCATGTTGTTACAAAGCCAAATAAATGAAGAAATGCTCGAAGTACTGTCTCATTTTTCATATCCTGCACCACAGTGAGCAACAAACGGGTCCAACACTGGTGACCACGAAGGGACCGCTTCGCGACATAATACTGGTGGTGATCTTGGAAACAGACAGTAAAGTTCAAAGACGCTAAGCTAATGGCGAGTCACGAAGTACTCCAACCCATTCATGACATTAACCCAAGCTGATGAAGTTGCTTTAGAAATTAATGCAAACACGACTGCAGAGACAGAAAAGAGCCATAGAAGCTATAATCCATTTGTGGGCGATTATGAGCCGATGGAGGAGCATGAAGCATTGGCTGTGCCACCGAATATGCCAAACACTAATCCCTATATTGAAACTATACAGGTGGCACATATTAACACAGACACTAATCCGTTCCTTCTTGACCATGATGGAGGCTTGGTCCACAGCACACCCCTGTCTCATTACTCCCCTTTTTATGTGAGTTCCACTGTTCCTGTCCCTGACGGCAGCCCAATGAAAGACTTTTACCAAAGATAATACAGTGTGGCCAGGCTGTGAACCTCCAACCTACCCCTATCCCTATCATGTCCCCCGCCAGGCCATGTCTGACAGTGAGGAAGAAGGTGGTGTCCGAGAGAAGGTCCCCCCATTGCGGCCGGGTCAATATGATGGCACAACCCCATGGAAAGAGTTCCTACACCGTTTTGAAAGTTGTGCTGAGACAAATTACTGCTCTGAAAGAACAAAGACCATCCAGTTGAAGTTCTGTTTAGTGGGTGCAGCTGGTGCCATCATTCACAGGAATCCCCAGTCATCTCAGTGGAATTATCGCCACCTTGTGGAAGAGTTGGAGATTGCTTATGGCCCATCTTCTGAGTATGCTGCAGCTGTGGCAATTGAATTAAGGCAGCATGTCCGCCAACCAGGGGAAGCTCTTCATGCCTTGAGAGATGACTTGCATGAGAAAATTGCAGTGGCCTGCAGTGACAGAACTGAAACGGAGCAGGATGCTATTGGGGAGGAGGTCTTTATCAACGCAGTAGGGAATGCTGACATTGTACAAAAACTGCTTGAACAACGGCCTCGCAACTGAGCCCAAGCTTATGAAGTAGCTCACCGCTACGAGGCAATAAGACAGGCCGCTTCAAATATCACTAATCTCATGCAGTCTCGAACCCGCACCCAACTCGACAGGAGACCCTGCACTGCTAGCTTCAGAGAAGGGCGGATTGAAACGCAGCCAGACATGGTTCCCTCAGCACAAAGCCCTGAGCATGCGACCCCATTCAGGCTGAGCAAGCCTTTTAGAAAGAAAGGCTCAAAAGATTGTAAAGGCGCTGTCAGTGCCCATCCCCCAGAAAGACCACAAAGGCTCACAACCCCTTTGACCCTCCTGAGGGCTCAGAGACAACAGTGCTCCATCTTAAAACCAGCACCCAGGAAATGAGCATCAAAATGCAGTTGTATGGACTTGATGTGTGTGCTGTTCTAGACAGTGGTGCAAGGAGAAGTGTGCGGCCTTTGGATGTGTATAACGCTATCAGCTCTGAGGTCCGGCCCCAACTTCACACAACCTCCGTCAAGACTCTCCTTGGGGTGACATCCCTGTTCTTGGTGAAGCACATGTTCCAGTCCAAATTAGTAACCACCAAGTGAGTGTTGATTTCCTGGTTGCAGATATTGCCAGTAGTGAAGCTTTGCTGGGCCATCCTTTCCTGACACAAGCTTGAGCCCATCTGGACTTTGGAAATCAGTCCATCACCTTATTCAGTGAGATTGTCCCCTACTTCTCCTCTCAAGGTAGCTCCAAGTCACACGCTGTTAGAGTGGCCCAGACGGTCGTCATAGAGCCCGGACAAGAGTATATTCTGAAAGGAGGAGCTCACTTCAGAGGACCAGTCCAGGGAGATCTAATGCTCAGCCCAACTAAAAGTTTTGTGGAGAAACATGGAGTGCTTGTAGCCCGGGTCCTGGTTGCAGCCCAGCCATCCAAAGTTGTTCCCATTCGCCTCTTCAATCAGGGAACACAGCAGTGACTATTAAAGAGGGGGCTGTGGCCGGGTTCCTTCACCCAGTCAAGCCCTACATGCTTGCCCCTCCCACTGACCAACTGCCTCTCCTCTCTCCCGCTGTTCCCACCCACTTGCAAGAACTCTACTCACAAAGCAGCTCCAACCTCACAGAGAATGAGCAAGATCAATTGGCACAGCTGTTATCAACTTACAGCAGCATTTTTTCCACAAGGCCCAATGACCTGGGCTGTACCAATTTAGTCCAGCATGACATTATCACACGACCTGGTGCCTCCATCAAGCAGCAGCCCCGTCGCATGGCAGCTGAGAAGCAAAGGGAAGCGGAGGAACAGATCCATCAGAGCCTGCAAGGTGGTCTGGCTCGACACAGTCATAGCAGCTGGGCCTCACCTATCGTCATGGTACACAAGAAAGATGGTACGTTATCGCTTGTGCATTGATTATAGAGCTCTAAATGACTGCACATTAAAGATGCTATCCTCTTCCCTGTATCCAAGATACATTATACACCCTCTCTTCAGCCAGGTGTTCAGTACGCTGACCTCGCCTCTGGATACTGGCAAGTTGGAGCTGTCCCCCTTTTACGCCGTGCCGCCGCCTTCTCCCAGAAACAGACTGTGAGTGGAATGTCATGCCGTTGGATTATTCATGCACCCGCGACATTCCAGCGCTTATGGACCGTGTGCTGGCGGGGTTACAATGGAGACATGTCTGATTTACCTAGATGACATTATTGTTCCAGCCCATGATGTGCCTGAATGCTACTGCGCCTTGGCCAATCTTCGACCGCCTTCTCCATGCCAACTTAAAGCTGACACCCACCAAGTGTTTCCTTTTCCGCATGAGGTTCCTACCTTGGACACATTGTGTCAGATTGGGGTTGCAACGACCTGGAAAGGTTGTGAAGATGAGAGTTGGCCGACTCCAATTCTGTCCAGAGGTACGCAGATTTATTGCCTTGCTTCCTATTACGAAAGATTTGTGAGAGACTTTGCCACAGTAGCAGAGCCCTTGCATGCCTTAACACGTAAGCATGCTCGTTTCCAATGGGGCAAGGAGCAGCAGACAGCCTTTGCAATATTGAAGCGACTGCTAACCACAGCTTCAGTTCTTGGCTACCCTCTGAACCACGGTGACATGATTTTGGACACTGATGCAGTGATACAGGTATTGGAGCTGTTTTGTCCAAGTGCAGGAGGGCCAAGAGCGTGTTTTGGCTGGGAGCCGCAAGTTAACAAAGACAGAGCAGAATTGCTGTACAACGAACGCGAACTGTTAGCTGTGGTTGAATTTTACAGCCATTTTCAGACAACCTCTTGGGGCGTTCTTTTGCAGTGCGCACAGATCACAGCAGCCTAAGTGGTTAACGCGTATGAAGGAGCCGGAGGGACAGCTGGCGAGATGGCTTGAAAAACTGGTGGAGTACAACTTCGAAATTGTCCACCGACCAGGCAGCAGCACGGTAATTATGACAGCTTATCAAGACGCCTTGCTGTCAGTCTTGCCTGCAAGCTACCACAACCTGCACACTTAAAGCATCAATGAGCAGGGAGTACAGTGTCAGTTTCTCTGACGTCAACCTGGCGACGCAGAGTACAGTGGGGGTGGACCAAA